CCTACAATTCCAGAATGAAGCGTGCTCTCAGAATGACTGGGAAGCCAAATGCAAACTGCCTTTAAAAGCTCTTCTGCAGGCTTGTCACAACAGTTAGTGCCAAGGAGAAGCAAGTTCTGTACCTACAGGCACGAATATCTCACAGTGTTAAGTTTCACATTTCTATTTGTAAATACTCTGTATGCAGGCCTAAACTAGGTTAGATCAGATTTAAGATGTCCCTTTTCTTGCATTTGATACTACAGTAGATAAAGTTTCAGAAATACCTATGCAAGACAATCCTTTTCACTCAGGGCTTCCCAAAAACAATGTGTAAACAATAGCACTTCAGAGTACTCACTTCGGCTTTCTTGGGTCTGTAGCTGCCAAGAAGAGAAGCATCTGCAGAAAGAAAAAAGGTGCACCCCAGAAAAAATTAAAAAGAAAATCCAAATGTCCTAAATTTTATGCCATCTTTTACAAAATAGCTTACCTCTCCTCCCAAACAGTACTAAAGCAATTTATTATTATTATACATTATGAAATTCTAAACAGTCTCCTCAGACTATTTCAGGAAATCACTTTCTTTGGCTGAAAACAATGACTTCACATTTAATGGAATACAATGTTTATAATAACGAAGTAGTGTACAGACCATCTTTGCATAGACAGAAGTGGCCCATTCCGTTAAGCTATTAATTGCCTAAATCAATACAAAATCAAGCTCTACCATTCCCAAAAATTCTTACTACTCTTCTCTGAACAAGCTTCCCTATGACCACCTCTCCCTCCTTCTATCAACTCTTCATTCCTTCTCTCCACACTGACCCACAAACACGAGTACGAAGCCCATGGAAACATACATGGGGGAACTACTAGGTCCATACTGGGTTAGGATGTTTCACCAATATCAATATGCACCTCATCCCTGAGGGTCTGACATTAAATTACGTCTGCCTTCTTGATCAGTTATGTTAGTCGGTACTGAACAACTGTCACACTGTGACCTAAGCCGAAAGAGGTACTTTTATGCTACCACAGCAATGTAAAGACACCCTTCTATTAGCTACCTGCACAAAAGCAAAAAAGGACTAAACAGTAGAGTCAGTAAGATTTGCAATTCTAGGAATCTGTTTTTTTCAGAAGTTACAGTTAAGCCTCAAGACAGAGGCAGGTGACCATTGAATCCTCTGGATATTAATAGTGAGGTAGATTTCGGTCTCCTAACTACTGGCCAGAAACAAACTCATTTTGTAAGTATTCAATGGTATTGAGTCTGTTACATTATCCAGCTACTACAGACTGATAAGTATGGCCCCAAAGGGAATGCGAAACCTTTAAAATCCTGCACCCAGTGCTACTACAAAGAACAAATGTAAAATAACAAGTTCATAATGATTTGCTATATAACAATTCATAATTAGTGAGGAGGTGCAATAAAGATGAGGCAGAGCACACATAACAAACAAATACTGATGAGACTCATTAAAATCCTCGTATTGCCAGACATATGCAATAAAATCAAATTTTAGGGTACTTCCTTAAATTTCTGGTCCCACACCTTTTATTAAACCCTCCTTACTGATACCAACAAAAGCTGAAGCAGATATTGGAGCACATCCTGGATGCTCATTAATAAGTCACTGATCCTCTACTCACAAATACTGCTGAAATAAACATTATTCATTTTTGAAGAAACAGAGCCCTTGAACTTCAAAATGATCAATACTCCAAGCCTGATCAACACACCCACAGGCTGTGGTGCAGATTTGCTCCACTATCCAACTCATCAAAACAAGTGGAGTGAAACAGAGCACTTGCCTGGGCTTTGGTATTTTCTACTCCTACTTTCATACCGTGTAGAACTATGTTCCAAGTTTCATGAGGTAAATAATTATTCAAAATGACCTTTTGCAGCACTAACTTATTCAGTATTCTTCCTATTCCTAGGAAGAAAGAACAGCTTTTTCTCCATGACAGACTGACATTTTATAATAAATAATAATAAACACCCCCCCACACACCAAAATAACCTCACTAAACTACTGCAGAAACCAAAGCATTAATGAGACAAAGTAGAAAATACTAACCAGGGTCTATCTTGGTCCAGGTTTCTGCTGCACTTTCTCGCGTGGGACACCAGGTATGAACTTTAATACCAGGACTTGGCTGTTCAACCTGAAGCACAAATACTGTTAAAATACTCAGCATCAGATAAACTCCTATTTTTTTCCTGTTCTCTTTTGCAAGATCACACCTAGTCCTTTCTAAAATATTTTATTCCTACTTTAATACTATTTAAAACTATTTTCACAACACTTTTCTCACATTATATGTATTATTAGCATTACTGTGCGTAAACAAAAACAGTGCTAGAAAGGTCTAGAAAACTCTGAATATCACACTGTTCAAAGCAAAAAAAAATGCAGATAGTTTCTCCTTCATCTATAATGTCTGCAGACTTTTTAAACAGTTCTTGGTATCCCATATTTATTCCAAACAGCTCAGATCTCACCAGAAGAGATCTGAATCTCCTCCTAATTAAAAAAAGTTACATTTAACACAATATAATTTTTATCTTTGTGTAACACAAAATCTCCAGGCCAAGAGTCCTCAGCAGTAAAGACACCCTAAAAGCAGCATTCTCAATCTAGAAAGGCCATGGCAGTCAGGATACAGTACATTAAGAGACAAGCTCCTTCCTTCTTTGTACAAACATAACCAAGCAATCAGAATCAATAATCAGTGGTTATATATGGTATAATTAAACTGTGAACTTCACCTAAAGATCAAAAACCAGAAGAATTGATTAAAAGGAGTTAAAAGAAAAATATCTGAGAGAGAGAAAGATAAACAGTAGGTTCATGAATGATTAATGGCTTACTAAGGCTTATCTGAATTTCTAAAATGCACCTATATGTAGAATAAAACTTGGAAAAGAATTCTAAAATTTGACAAGATATTATTAATTCATTTGTATATAACCTAGAAAAAAATTAAATAAAATGAGAAGTAAACTAATTAAGCACTAAATTATCTCAATGGTCGTGTCAAGTGTCCATAATTGTAGACAAATCACAATGTTATAGCACAGAATCAGAAAAATCCCATTTCTGCCCCTAAACATTCAAAGTGGGTTTCTAAAAATAAAGGATAGTTGCATCATAAGAAAAATTAAAAGAAAAAAAATAGCATATGAGAATATGATCCTCCAAGAGGCCAGGAAATCTGGCCCTTTCATACTAACGTACTTAAACAGCTCCTTTAAGTAAGTACCTAATTTCAGAACAATTGTTCACGTATGGTTAGCAAAAAGTCCTTATGTGGGTGCTAAAGTCAGCTTGGTTATGAACTCTGAGTCAAAGCATTACAGATGTAGCTCTGAGCAAAGGAAGTGTTTCAAAGATCATAGGATGCCAACATAAAAAAAGTTGAAAGAGAGGAAGTGTAAGTGTTCATAATGTGACTAGACACTCTTTCTTTAAAGTCTTATTCAGGAATTTTTAATACTAATATCAATTACTTCCAAGCTGAATTTATACACCTATTATCCTGTCTAGTGTGCTGGAAGAAAAGAAATGGGGCCTCAGAGAATTTAACCAAGATATTCATGAAAGAATTTGATCTTTGTCTGTTGCTAATGCGGATAAAAGAAATTTTATTTTAGTTAATTTTACATTTAAATCACTATGTGACAGACTGTTAAGGAGAGAAAAATTATTCATCTGAACTAAGAGTTGAGTGAATTTTTGGAGCATATTTAGTGAAAGAACAATATTTGATCTGAGCTTAAACTGGAAGCACTTTGGAGAGAATACAAACCCGTCTAACTACAAATGGAGGTTTATCGTTTTCTCGCCTGAATTCATAAGGACCAAGGTTTAAATGGGCTAGTCGTTGCCTGGCTTCTTCTGACAGCTCACACATTCGTCTTTTTGTGTATGGAGATGGAGAACGTGATTTAGAAGCTATTGTAGGCTGCTCGTAGTTCTTTGATGCTAAGCTGTGCCTGCTTTTCTCAGGTGAGAGTGTGTTTTTCTTTGGTAACTTTGTCTGCAATTTTCCATTTGGGGCTGAGTGATGTACCCAATTCAAATCACCCTGAAGTGAAAAAGAGAAATTATCTGGTTTGACAGCATGCAGAACAAAGATCACTGAAAATAACACAAACAAGGAACTAATAACTTTAACAGAAATGGATGCCATGTTAGCTGAAGTTCCCCTCACAAAACTATAATTATAAGAGCAATTTAAAAAAACAACAATGTATTTACCATTTTCTCTGAAACCAGAAGGGGGTTAAAACACACATTGCTACATGTTAGATGTTAAGGTTAAGTGTCTGATACTTAGCCAATTAGCTTTGTCACACAGTTAGTGTACAGAGACTGTGAAAAATTAAATTTATTTTTGTCACAAGTTCATTTAACACAAACTTTACCTGGATTGGACATACACATATTTGAAGCATTTTTTCATCTGTTTAAACTTTTTTTTAACCTTTTAAAATTCTTACCCTCTAAAAAAAATACACAAGGTAAAATAGAAGCCTGTTTAATAGTTTAAATTATATGCATTTAGAGTTGCCTAAAGCCTCACAAGAAGTGTAATTGCATTATCTGAAATTTATGTTTTCTTGGATCATGGTGAATTAAATAGTTTTTAAAGAGTTAGAATCAAGAAGCTAAGTTTAGTAAAAAAAAAAAAAATAAATCATCACTCCTCCAAAAAACCCACAAAAAAACCTTCAAAGACCATCTTCTAAAGATCCCCTCAAATCACATGATCACATGAATACTTTTGCAAAAGAAGAGGCAAAGCTGTTTAATTTGTACAACTGGCATTCAACATCCAAAATAGGGATTTTGTAGGTAAAATGCATAAAATTCCCACCATTATCAAATATTGCCTTAAAAGTCTATCTTTGAGTTGATACTGCTTTTAAAATACCTGCATATAGCAGAATAAAGGGAAGTGGAGGAATAACCAATCTCACCATCTCACTTCTCAAAACGTAGGTTGGGGGAGGTGCTGTTGTCGTTTTTGTTGTGGGTTGTTATCAGCAAAGCCTACCTACTGGTCAGGCCTGACACCCCCTCCAAGTAACTACTAACTTCTCCAGTGACCGACTTCAAGTTCTCAGAAACCATTTCCAACGCTGAAGTTTCATTTGAAATACATTATCATTCCTTTATAATTCCTGGCATTAAATGAGCATTCAATTGCTCTACAAGCTTCATAGGTCAAAGCACTCTAGATTATACAGCTCTCATCAGGCTACTTAAGTCAGCAGCATGTTTTTACTTTTAATATTGCAGCATGGATAACTAGGCATTTTTATCAAATTTGGCCCAAATTCACAGGTTATACAAGTTAAAAAACAATGGTATAGTAAGACTTTTCTTCCTGTTAGAAATTATTTTTCAAGCTTGAGGATGTTGACATTAGTCTTAAATCTGACTGTTGCATTCAGAGGAACACAGAAATAAAACGACCAGCTTGTCTTCAAGCCTTTCCCTCTACATCCAACAATGAATGAGGCTGAGGTTGTGTGTTTGTTCTGCATCAACATAGTCTGAATATGGCATCAACACAGACTACTCATGCCACTGTCTCTCTCACGCCTGTACTAGCCCTTGTGCAGCGGGTAGAGAGCCAGAGTATGGAACAGGCCCAAATAAAACCAGAACTAATTCTCTAAGATTAATTTTGGTTTCACCAGAAGTAGGCTGTGCTTCTTCTGACTTAGAGCAATCATGAAAGTAGACCTTCACTGCAACACATGCAAATTTGATATGCCACTCATAATATATTAGATACTTTTAAGAACATTTCAAATTTTAAATCAAACTGCCCTTATTGAAGTCACCTTCAGTGAAGTTAGTTTCTGACAATGACAATTTTCACTGGTTTTGTTTTGGTTTTGGTTTTTTTTTTTTTATTCTTTATTTAAGTATCTCAATAAATTTCATTTGCTAAATTTGGAACAAACTTCTCAAAGAACTAATTAGCAAACAGGTCAAAGTCACCTAACCCTCTTTGCATGCAAGTCTTCCTGACAACCATTCCATTTCAATGATGCCGCATCATTTTTCAATAATACAGCAAAAAAGGAGGATGTAAGAATAATTTTATGCGACAGCTTGTGCCAGGAAACCCAACCAAAATTACAATCCGTAGACCAGAGAAGCACGCTACCAAATGAACATACACATAAGAGAGGGTTTTTTCCCCCCCTCAGTCTCTTCAGCTACTTCATCTTTAACTTTGCTCATTGCAGAAGCAGCATTTCCAGATTACTATTGTTGACAGCCTTTTCAACAAAAAACTTAATTTCCATTACTGTTACTGATACTGTTATGGAAAACAATTACATTAATTGGTTTGGTTTTGATAATGTACCTTCTCTGACTTCACCTAGCTTTCATTGTCCTTAATTTTAAGTGTCAGTAAGAAACAGTGAGAAGGCATCTTCCCACCTACAAATATACCAGGGATTGACACTTCAGCTGATCACAGAACATAGCAGCTGATAATTGTTTCAGATTCAAGGAACTCTCAGCATTTACTGTCATGCACCAAACCCACTCTTTACTCATACTTGATTAAAAATTTAATCAAGTTGTCAAGCACCCATGATAACTGCTTTAACCACAACAAAAGAATGAGAAAAGTTTGAAGTGAGCAGCAGATGCAAAAATTGGAACCAAGGCTATCAATATTAAATCTAGAAATTAAATTGCAAACAATTAAATTATGCTAACCTGTATGTGACTCCTTCCTGAGCTTAACAGTCTTTCTGTAATAAGGGAGCTTGTAGAAAATCTCAATTTTGGTGCAATTCCCTAGAAGAGAGACAATAATTGAACATCAAGCTCCAACTTAAGATAAAGGGTATCAAAGAAGTAAATGTCACCTAATGTAACAAACCATTCCTAATTTTCAGCCATTTCCTTTGTTAATTTCAGCCTTTAATAAAGATAATTAGAAAAGACAGAACAGCAATGGTAAATGTCAAGATGCTAACATTTGCATTTCTGACAATTCAATTACAGATGATTATATTGCTTTCGTACAACAATTAAGGTCTGACTTTTATTTCAATACATTTCTTTGTCAAAAGCACTTTTAAAGATTTTTCACGCCATGCTATATAGCATCAATAAAAATTCCAGTCATGCTCTAGAAGTTTCCTTGACGCTAACTTTAGAAACTTATTTATAAATAATCTCAATTGTGCAAGCTTTTTTGTAAAAACATTTTCAAAATCAGTCAGTTACACTGCAAATAACTATTCATTTGTAACAGTATCATTAAGAATACCCTTTATTCTGTAACCATTAGAGCAAAGTCCGATTTCTGTGGATTGTCTCTCATGTTCTATAACAATGCTCGACTTCCTTTCAATCTCCCTCTTCTACGTGTGGTGGGCAAGATGCAGCCCTAGTTTGACCAATTTGGAATCAGTGGAGTCCAACAGGGCCTCCTGGTCAACCAGCACACACGTACTAATGGCCAACAAGTCCCTCCATCTTTACATGGCTAACAGTTTCTGTTCAATTCATCTTCTTTTACTGCAGCCATGTCTAGAAACATAATACCTCTGAGAGCTCTATTTCCTGTTAAATTTAGCTAGAACTGGGCAAGGTATACAAAATTTACTGGGTGTAAATGGCAGCAATTATGACACACAAGTGTTATTTCTCAAAACAACACTGAAAAAGGCACAAAAGAACTAAAGGCCACATATGCTATAAACAAGTGGGAATCATCTATGTGCATCTTATACAGTTCTGCAGAAGCAAAGAGAGAATCAAGTGTCCCTAGAACTTTCTACCCTCTCTTCTTTCAACACAGAGTTTGCTGCCCCGAGCCATCTGTGTGCATAGGCATTTGTGCACATGAACACAAAATCACTGAGAAACAAAAAGGAGATGGTCTATGACTCTGCCCCACATTCTTAGTAATTAGCAAGAACATGAGTGAAGTCTACTGCTTAACCAAACTATTCTCTACCACCTGCCTAAACACACACTGATTTCCCATAAGGGAATATGAACTGGCCCAAGGTTAGATTATGGAAATGAAATGACAAAAATGTCAAGAAAGTTCAGTCATAGCAATTAACAGAGTCCAGGATTCAATCAAGTCAAGTTATGGCATGTAAAAGATTTTAAAGCTGACCGTCTTTAATCAACTCATTTTTATTACTAATGAATTGTCAAGTGCTATTAACAATTTTAAAAAGGACACATCAGAATTAGCAACTCTTCTATAAAAAGCAACAACAGAGCACCTACTGCTCTTACAGAGACTGGGAATGATTACAGAATTGTTAAGTGCTCATAGCTAAAAAAAAAAACAAACAAAAAAAAAACCCACTCAAAACTACGGTTTCTTCAGAGAAATGAATTGTGGAGAGGGAATACAGGATGGCACTTGCATACATAGACATGGATATGTCAAAAGTAATGTATAGATCAAAAGCAATGAGAGGAGTTTTTCTGGTTTCTGCAGTTCCCGAACTAGGGATTGCTGAAGGATATTCAATATAGTATTATGTAAAGACTGCCATACAGCCCCAAACATATCTGTACATTAAAATTGAGCCAGAAAGTTTTTGGGATCTATTCTTCTGCCTCCAGCTAGTGATATCTGCAGTCCTGAGCAGGCTTGTCAGTCCTTCTGCACCAGAAATGATATGGACATAAAATTAATTTGATCATAGAAAAACTGGTAAGGTGGTTCATACTTAGAAGAACACGAGTTAGAAAGCCAGTCTAATACATGCTTTTGACTGTAAGAAGCATGAATACAAGACTGTAGCTTAAAAAAGTACATATGAATATAATAGAAGGTCTTGTATTGGTATGCAAATAAAAGATAGCACAACTAAAAAGAAACTGTTTTAAGTAACATGGCAAATACTGCATGAGGGTGGGGAATGGAGATAAGAATGTGTGTAAGAAGTCACCACCAGTCAAGGCTTAAACATATCCTGAAAGGCAAGGGTTGCAGAGACATACAGAAGAGCCAGCAAAAGCCTCAGCTGGGCAACGCTGGACCAGCAGAGATAACTCAAGGCATGTCTAGTATGCGTATTGTGCTTGTAAGCCCCATAAGACATTTAGCCAGAGACATTATCAGCCAAGTGCCAGATTTCTGGAGGAGTTCTGATCCTCTCAACCTGGGATTCCTTCCAACTGGCAGATTAGCAGTGTTAATCAGACACTGCTTGTCACTGCCTATCTGAACTCCACAACCGTAACCTTGCTGTTGCTACCTTTATTTTTTTAATAAAAGACAAATTTATTTGGAATCAAAGTGCCACTGAAGCACAGCTGTCAGTCAAAAATACTCAACATCTCAGCTATAAATAACTTTCCATGTAGGAAGAACATCGCTTGACTAGCATAGGAATAACGTGAGGGTTCTCATGACCTTGTTTAACACTTTCCCTTTTGCTTAGCACTCACATTCAATGCTTGGTGCTGATAGAGTTAGCAGAAGATACTTGCCAGTAAAGCTTAGGAAACACTAGAAGATGTAGGCATTTGAGACTGCATTTCTACTGGAGTTAAAAATCCTCTCACAGCTGTTCCATTTGACAAACAAGGAGAGGAACCGCAAGGTCTTTTCAGGAGCCTCCCTCCAATTCCATCAAACACAGCTTCTTTATTATTCCTGAAAATGGGGTCAGTATGCCAAAATCCTTTCCTAAACCGTTCTTTCTGTGATGTAGATGGAACAGAGCAACAGATGCTTCTGCAGTCCTTGTTCCAGAGCACAGATGGATTTTATTTACACTGCTCCCAAAGACATGGAAGTACATTTCCCTCTTACCTCAGTCAACTTTTTACTACATTGTCATCATAGAATAGAATCATAGAATCATTAGGTGGGAATAGACCTCTAAGATCACAAGTCCCACCGTTGACATAATACCACCATGCCGACTAAATCATGTCTACAAGTGTCATATCTACATGTTTTTTTTAACATCTCCAGGACGTTCCAATGTTTGACTACTCTAATACTCAATTTTTCCTAATGTCCAATCTAGACCTCCCCTGGCACAACTTGAGGCCATTTCCTCTTGTCCTACTGCTAGCTCCTTGGGAGAAGAGACCGACCCCCACCTCA